TTTGTTGGTAAGTTACTAAAATTACTTTTTTACTTTATTTAAAATTAAGTATACCCTACTCTCTAAGTATCTACTATGGGTTGGTGTACGGAGTACTCTCTCTCTCTCTCTCTCTCTCTCTCTCTCTCTCTCTCTCTCTCTCCAGCATATATGCCATCCTAAATTGGGATTCCGACCAATGCAAAGTCAATGTGAAAGTTATGCGTGCATGCCGTGAAGAATGATAATGTTGATGTTAAGTGTTTGTCCTCACAAGCCCCATATTCTTCTCACAATGGCCTATGCATCCACTACCTGATAAACCCTAGCCACCACTTAACACAACCGGTCTTGATGGGATACCTGTGAATCCCACTCTGGCAGATGCATCTTGGGAATCAAAATCCCAAAGATATCGACTCTGCAAAGTCGGGCCTAGAGTCTTAGTGTTCTAAGACACTCTGCTAGCCCACTTAAGTCGTGTAGAGCTGCTGACTCTGAAGAGCCTGTTCACCATGACATATCATATGCCTCTTTGAATCACGTTAGTCACATAGAGCTGCTAACGGAGCTCCCGCCAAAGAGTCCACTCACCATGGCATGTCACATACCACTTTAAATCACGAGTCCAATACTCCCACTAAAACCTCGAATATTATAAGAACACGAACATTCTAAAATAAACATGGTACATAAAACAATCGGGAGCTAGTTGCCTTTAAATGGCCTAAAACCAACATTATGCCACTTATTTTATTGTTCCTTTTTTTGTCTTTTTGGGTAATTCAGTGGGGTAGACAAGCCCCTACCTGTTTTCTTCAAATAGTTTAGGCGTTAGTTTTTTGAAGGTGTTAGTGGGGTGGTGTCAATGAGAATGGAAACCACAATGTGGTGACTAGGGCATGGGGTTGCTACCACTACAACCCCAGCCCCTTTCCCAAAATTGAGGTTCGTTTTGAAATTATTTTATTGTTCTCATGTCATGGAAGGACATTATCCTAGGATTCATAATAAGCATACTTGAGAAGGTATCTGATCAGATTTGAGAAGACTGGGGAAGTTAAAATATAGTTAATTTTTTATTTATTTTTAATTTTATTTTTTAGAGAGTCCTGATTGAATGTTCTGAATGGAGCATATGAGTGATTGATATGACATTTTGTACTAATGAGAATTACGATTTTAGGTTCTCATCAATTTTGGTCTTGGAGCCTGGCAACAGAAGTTTAGTCATATGCACAAAATCTAGGGTTTACTAGCATGTATGTTTGCCTGGATGTGAGTGTTTTTGTTTTGATCAAGCATGGATTTTCAATATCTTCTTTACTTTTGGCCTGTGATTTCGAATGTGTGCTTATATAGTGATAAGATCACAGATTTCTCCGCATTCAAAATTGAACATCCCTAGTTCTGATTTTGGCAGCTCCCACGAGGCACACATCAGTGGTCAAGCTTCCTTACTCCGGAAGAGCTCGTTCTGCTGCTGCAACGTGCCTCAATTTCAGTTAGTTTCTTACACAAATATGCTTTTAGTATTTTAATTTCCAAGTGCTATAATTTAAGCAGCGTTGCTTTTAATTGTTCACCAAAAAGTTGCACTGACTACTTATGCGTACTTACTCATGGGCCATTTAAATTTCCAAATTCCAATTAAGCGACATTTCTCTATCTTTTATTGATAAGCTGCAGTGACTATTCTGTCGAGCTTACACATTGACTCTCTCTTACTCAGGTCCAAGAAATGGCAGGATTTGTATACAATCCGCTAACAGGCAAGTGGGCTCTGTCTGATGATGTTAGTGTGAACTTCATTGCTCTTGGTGCCAAGCAGATTCATAGGAAAGCATTGTAATTTTTATTTTCCATTTAATAACAAGGTTCACCTTATTTGGTTGACCTTTGCCTCTTAGTATGGCTATGATTGGAAAATATGAGAGGCTTTTTCATGCAGCCTTGCTCATCTTATTTATGTGCATTATAAAGTAGACATTAAGTTGAATGAATAAGCCTGGTGGGATATTCCCAGCTGCACTGGAATTGAAAAGCAAAGAGGAACCAGTTGCAAAGACCTGCAAAACTGCCATGGATTTTGAGGAAATGGTATAAATGCACTGCAGTAATAAAAATATGGAAATTTTCATGTACTTTTTCAAGTGAAAGGATGAAGGGAGAAGGATGTGGTTCCTCCTCTCTATAAGTTACGGTCTTCATAGACCATTGGGTCTAGGTAAACGCCGTGAGACCTTCGCTTCCTTCCACACAGAAGGCTTAGCAGCCATCCCAGCTCTCGATTTCCAACCCCCTCCTTTGAAGAATAAGACGACCAGGCCACCACATCCTCCCCCCCACCCCCCCCGGCCCCCCTTCCCCTCCCCCTTCCCCTCCTTTGGAAATTAGACTGACTAAATTTTCAGTGAATTGGGATTCTAAAGCTGTCATGTAAGGGGAACTCCAATTCCTCTGGTGACAAAAGTACCCTGACCTGGGGAACTCCAATTCCTCTACTGACAAAAGTACCCTGACCAAGTGAGACCAACAGCTCTTCATCCAATAAACAGTTTTGAGATCAGGGCATTGGCACCTAAGACCTGAAAGAACTGATCTCTCTCGTTTATTTGTCCAGCCATTCCTTTTTTGATACTGTTAACTTTGCATTGAAAGAGAGAAAAGTTATATAGTTACCCTATGGGCAAAATAATCACCGAGATATGTGACAACAAAAGAGCTTACAGCACACAACAACTATTACAAGAAAGGAAACAGATATGAGTCCAAGAGACCTGCATATACCTGCAAAGATCATGAATGTTATCAAATATTTTCCAAGGGGGGAGTTGATTGGTGAGAAGCCCAACCAATGACATTCTTGGAGTCCCCTTTTATGGCAAGAAAAGGGCCCCATGAGTGGTCGTAGAGCCTGAGGCCTTATAAGAGGGCCCATGCTTTGGCTTCCATGGAATCTGTGACACCGATAGAGGAGGAGTAGGAGAGAAGTGTGATTCTATCCTGGTTTCTAAAAATGCCTCTGATTCCTGCTGGTCTTGGGTTGCCCAAATAGGACCCATTGAAATTGAGTTTGATCTTGCCCTCTTCAGGTCTCCATAGAGCGATCTTTGAGGGTAATGTTGAAGAATATTAACCCAGTGAAGGATGAAATCTGAGGTCAAGAGGTGCCTGAACCGGCTATGGTTGGTGGCCCAGAGATAACCATAGTCCTTATGGTTTCCTGAATTTTGTGGATTGGGGCATAAAGGCCTTGGAAGATTCTGTTGTTGTGCTCTTTCCAAATGGCCCAGAGGGTGGCCGCAGTGGTAGCTGTCCAAAGGATGGACCGGGATTTGGACCAAGGCAGGAAGGTCGAGAGCTGGAATAGTTGGGTGACTGACTCAGGGGTCACCCAGATGCACCCAAATAATTGGAGAGTTTCCTGCCAGATTTTACCCGCCAGGAGGCAATGTAAGAATAGATGTGCATTGGTCTCTTCTTGGGAAAAACACATTACACACCTTTTTGGAATTTGGACTCCTCTCTTATGGAGTTTGTCTACCATTAAGATTCTACCCCACAAAGCAATCCAAGAGAAGACCTAGATCCTCAGAGGTAAGAAAGAATTACGGGCTTGGGGGACAACGGGATGGGTGACCACATTCCCGAGAGGGGGATAGGAATGTTTGAGGAAGAGGGAGGCAACCGAGAAAATTCTCGAGGGGTTGGGTTCCCTGATGATCCGATCTTCACTGTGTGAGGGAAGGTGGCAGGAGGAAAGAAGGTTAGAGAGGTCTAGAAAGGCCGAAAGTTCATTATCCCGGAAGGGTCTACGGAGATCCAGGTTCCAAGATCTGCAACCACCGAGGGTGGAAACATCTCTTCAATGAAAGCTGAGGGGTTTCTATGAAAAGCGAGAGGAAAGGGTACCCAGCCAGCGGTCAAGCCAGAAACTGACGTTGGCTCTGCTCATAGGGTGGAAGTGAACGGAGTCCTTTAAGAGGTGCAGGGTGTGGGATATAGATGTCCAAAAGCCGGAAGAGGCATGCATAGAGGAGTTGGGAATAATCCAAAGGAAGAGGAGAGCTGGCACTTATGAGTTTAGATTTCATGCCACAATTTACCTCCCTATGTGGCTATTCTCCACCACCATTTACTCAAGATGGCAAGGTTGTTTTTACTTACGATGGCTATGTTGTTTTTCCAACCATTCCTAGTATATTTTTAAAGGCTTTTTGCTTGAGCAAGATCCTTGATCAAAGGGTTGCAGATCAGGTGGGAGGTGCTCTTGACTAGAAAGCTCTAGAGGTGCTATGCAACTCTAGGGCTTTTCCTTGGCTTCCAATTTTGCCTTCAACCAAGAGATGAGAGCTTTACTAGGACATCCATCCATCGTCAGTGGCATGGTTGCAGGTTGGTTTATCCTATTCTTTTTTCATCGATTTGTTGTATTACAGTCCATAATTTCATATTGGGAATATATGTCTGTATACTACATTGATGCTTATGGTTATTGGCCCAATTTCTTCTTTTTTTTAAAGAAAAAAAAAAAGGATGAATTCATCTTGCCACTGCTCCCCTATTTGACATGCTCAAGTGCAAAGGCACGCACGCGCACGCGCACGCTTTGAATGATAGATTGATGAATGTTGATGAAGGGATCGTATTTAAGCCTAGGAAAGGATTTGCAGAGTCGTTTTCTTACTGAATTTTTCGCGAATTCAAGCTAGATGTGCCCAGCAAACTGTTTTCAGCCAAATTCGAGAAGATCTGGAGGTGAAATCCTCTCTTATGTAGGCTACAAACTGAACAACTGAAATTTTCAATAGAGAAGAGTGGGAGTGTATGTGTCAGCAGAGCCAGCTTAGAAATAGTGCAAAAACCAAGCAGAAAATCAAGAAAACACATAAAAATAGGGAAAGCATAAAATAAACTAAAAAATTACGGTTAAATTAAAGAAAACTAAAAAAGTTGATTTGGAAGTTAGTCCCACAATTCCAGCATCTGGAGTTGGTGGCCAGATTAGACTAGAAATTAAATGTCTTCATCCTCAGCCCTATAGATTTGCTTGAACAAGTACCTATGGCATGTTCTTCTTAGGGTTTGAGTTACTTGGGCACATTCATCATATGGCTTTCATTTAGGTTTTAATAGTTATAAAGAGTTAAGGTTTCTAGAGCTAGGTTTCTCAGGTTTCTAGGCTCTAGGGTCTCTTTAGCCTAAAGGGTTCTCTTACTAATTTCCTAGAAATTTATCTAGGATTTCAGTTATGGGATTTTAGATTATAGGTTAAAAGGAGCTAGAAAGGGGTTTATATAGGCTTCAATTAAATCCTAGTTCTATTGGAATTAGGAGTCTTAGGTTTATCTCTAGAGTTCTAAATCTAATAAGATTAGGCTTCTAAGGCTTCTAGATCAATCAAACATATTGTTCAACAGGTCCGGAAGTCTCCATAGAGTGAAAATAAGATCACAGACCATGTTGCCCGATTTTCAGAATGTTCTAGACTCCAGGACTGTGAGCAATGCAATACGCATGGCTAGGCCTAGGGACGCACTCCACATCGCTGAACTAGGTCCAGCGCGGATGATTCTGAAGACTATCCAGTCCAGTCTGGTGTCAGTATGACTGAATTTGGACTAGGATCGGGGGTTACGATCTAGAGTTTTCTGAGGTTTCTATGCTATTTTGGAAAAATCCAGATCAATCAGGCTATCTTCAGATGGATTTGAACATATTTAGATTGGTTTGACTAGATTTGGTATATTCAATGGTTTTCCTAAGGATTATGGACAGCAGGTTATGGCACACTAAGCTTCACTTGGCTAATATGGTCCTATGGTTCAGGTTTATAGGTTTTAGGGTTTTAGAAATTAAGAAAATTAGCCAATTTCAAATTGGGTGTCTACATGGCCAATCCCCCATTTTGGAAATTTCATGGCATCATGTGGTGAATGTTTCCAAAGTAGAGCACAAAGCAAGGACATGGGTTATGTTGGGGCTTGAATCCATGCCCCTTTGTATAAAACTATTTGCTCGGCTAGCTAAGACACATATTGACTAGGTGAATTTCAATGAAAAGGAGCGAACAGTTCAAATGCGGGTTATAAGGAAAACCTTATCCCCTCCTGGCCTTGCTCTAGGCTTTGGTATTGATTCAAGGCCTAAAAGCCTTTATGACGATGGGAATGTTAGTGCAATGAGATATGCGGATGGGAGCAAATGCACACTGGTAGAAGCCCGATGAGTCCTAGTGTCCCTCAAGCGCCCTTGTCCCTTCCCAAAGAATTCTAAGTCCCCCCGAGTGGCCTTGTCCCTTCCCAAAGAATTCTACCTTTGGAGAAGGTATGTTTAGGGTTGGTGTTCCATCTAAAAGAAAGAGGGAGACGACCCATAACTTTTATCCATCTTAATTTCTCAAGGGCAACCACAGACGCTAGTGCGGATGCTGCAACGAGCAGGACGACCGTTGAGGAATCGACTCCTCCCAAAAATGTGGGAGTGACCAGGGACAATGTTGCTGTATTAATGATAATAGGGGCTCACTGATTACTATAGAGACCATCGGAGATGTTCCATAATCAGCCCCCCCTTCAAATATGGGCGACACTCCTAAGCTAATCACCTCCCCTGTGATAGGTATATTTTTATATATTTCAATGGTTTGGAGAGGTCTCATACATTTATGTGCATTAAACTACTTCTTTTTGTAGGCCCTTCGTCTTTGCTAGCTACGCAAATTCTGCCTCGTGTGGTTCCTCAAGGAGTTAGTTCTTCTTCCCCTTCTTACAATGTCAGCCATAAATTGAGGCATGGAATGCTCAATGTGGTTGCAGGAAGCTTGCTTCTCTCCAATTGAGGACCTTGCAGAGGGGAAAAGTCTTTTGACAACTATTCTAGGCTATTGTTGCAATGGAATTACTCCCTAGGCAGCAGTCGTTAGGTTGTGATGAACATATTAATATGCCAAGCAGGCTCTTCCTTCATTCATTAAGGCTGAGTAGTCCTGCCTAGAGGCAGAACAAGCTAAAGCCGGGGATGAGCTCAAAAAGTAGTTAGAGGCACAAGATTCTCCGTTGACCA